ACTTGCGTCTGTTTCAGTCCAAGCCAGAAAAATTCAAGCCGTATCCAGTTCCTCTTTCCAAAATAAAATCTCCGCACGGGAGTTAAAACACTCAGAGGCGCGAAGCCTCGATTTGGAACCATTGGCAGGTGTGCCGGGTCCCTGGCTGTGAAGTCTTCCCTAGTTAGCTCATGGGATCAGACTTATAGCCAAACTGAGGTTTCTCCGGAGAGAATCCCAGCTGTCTTCCTAGGTTGGAATCAGGAAGAAGAGTGTGTCGTTCAAAGCCGTCCGGGTTAGTAAAAGAAACGGGCGATCTTTGGTTCCGCCCTCAGGCTTACAGATGAGTCAGAGAAAGAAAGATAAAGATTTGCAAGCCGGCGCCAGCCCAAGGTTAAAATTCTGTGGTTGTTCAACAACATGAAATGATAACCTCTTTTCAGCTTTCTTCTGATAGACTAAGAGAAATCACTGCAAAACATTTATGATGATTAATTAACATTTCTGTTTTATAATCAGTTCTGAACCTTCTGTTAGTCCAGATAAATGAAAGATTTTCTCAGGAAAAATCCACAATTATATTACTTTGTTCACAGTAAAATAAAACAGTGATTTACATAAAAACACAATGAAAACATTGTAATCAGATTCTCTGTGATTTTTATATCATTATTAATCTTTAAGGCACAATAAAAGAAAAGAAGTGGTTCCACTTTTCCTGTGACAGTCATTATCATGATTTAACAAATGCATAAACGTTCTTAGTTAAACAACAAATGAATCACGAACAGAAGAGATTGTTCTGTCCATTATCTGATTAAGAGAACTGAGGGGTTCTCTTCCACGGTTGGAATGACCTGTCATGGCCTAAATAGAGTTCAGTTTGTAACAGAGTTCCTGTCCTCTCGTCAGGCCTGTTTGAGGCCTGCTTTGAGGCAGAAAATCTTGTTTCTTCACTCGAGGTGACCCCTACACAGGTGACAGAACATCATCTCAAGGTAAAAGCTGGCTGTGTGTGACGTCGAGGTCTGACCAAAGCTGAGCACAGAACGCTTCGCCCTTCTGGTTAAAACCCACATTATTTAAGATAAAAGTATAGAAAAGCTAACATCTTTCTTCCGCCCTTTTCCTTAACCTCTTCCTTGCCAACTCCTAAGATAAACAGCCTCAAATGTTTGGTATTTAACATCTGAACTGATGTTTGTGCTTCTACTTAAGTGTGGTTAACAATTAAGAAGTTAAAGCTTGTTATTGTTGGTCCCAAACTTTTTATAGGAAATTACTTGTTCACAATCAGGTGTACTCTAGTCAATTTTGTAGGATTTGTAAAATAAATGATCACATACTATGGTTCAAATCAACATTCACTGACTGAGAGTTACTTTTTGTGTCCATTCATTTTTGCACTAAAGAAATGTTTATCCAAAATAAAAGAGATCCTTGCTAATTAAATTACTCTTATAACCTTGTTATAAGAAGTGTAAGCTAAACCCTTACAGCTACATCATTAAATGTCTGCATACAACCATCTGTGACAAAGTATGGGTCTTCAGAACCTTCAGAACTATGAGTGTAGAACAGCCTGCTGACTGTTACATCGATGTGCAACAACTGACTTGATTGGTTCTAGAAAGACTGTCTGCCCTTTTCTCAGATATAAAGATACTAATCTAATAAT